CAGTGTATTGCTCACAAGCAGACTTAGAATCACGACTGTAAATAGTTGACTGTACTTCATTGTGGCTACTGCGTCTAAAAAACAACAGCAAAAATCACCTCGACACTCTATAGGTAAAGCAAAAGAAAACCGACACCTCTTCGTATTTAATTTTCTTGAACATCCTACTTACAAATGCTTCCAAATATCTTCCTATGATGGCAGATATCAAATATATGTTTGTTTAAGACATGTGGCTAAAACCATTTTGAATACTAAATTATCAAACGCACTGGATCAGCATATAGTATATTATATTTTGTTTTTAATGGTTATGACGAATAACTTAAATGGTGTTTATTTCGATCGTATTAAAACTTATTCCAACTTCTTCAAATACCACTTTGTTCCAATAGTACGAAAGATAAACAAGCGTATGGCATCTTTTTCCATTATTTTGAATTAGATGGAGTACAGCCAAATAGTGAATTATCCTGCATCACAGATCATTTCTTCCTTTTTGAATTCGTCGGCGATGCTAAGAGCACTAACGTTTGAAATCTACAAGGCGACTGAGGAAAATCCAAAGTAAACAAACATTTTAAGTTACATTGATATTTCAATAAAACACGACATATATCTGAATATTGGTATTGAGCTAACATCATACATTGTATATTGAAATATAAACATCTTACGTTTGACCGAAAGCATCGCTTAAGAATATGTAACCTACTTAAACAGATAAATTCTACATTAGAAATAAGAAAAAAAAATATTTATCTTTTTTTTTGTCTCAGATTGTTGGCTATATATTCGCGGAAGTCCTATTTGCTGTGACGATTTATTATTATTATTTTTTTTTTCAAAATATAAAATTTCCATTTTACAACTACATAAAGGGTATAAGGAGAATTATATTTTTCTCTTTCAAACTTATCTATTAAGCTTGATAAGTTTTATGAATGTTTCATTATCGTTTCTTAATCCAAATATTATATAACAACACCATCTGGATTTTGCCGACCGGCTTCTAGTGATAGATAAATGCATACTTACCGTTCAACTTCAGCAGATACCAAATGACGTGCAATACCTAGAAGAATTTCCCCTTTTCTTTTATACCCCATGTTCATACTCAATGTATGCAACCCGTGTGTCAATCAGCCACGCATTAATTTATTCCATCTGACAATAGTCTTCAGCATTAACCTCCAAGCCGTCTAGCGGTCAGTAAAGTACGTGAATATTGATGTTTTATCGGCTCTGTGGTCATGATTGGCACAATATTATATTGCTCCAGATCAATATTCGACCCAAATATGTGCTGAGGTTATATATCAAATATAACGGTTAAGTCAAAATCGAGTCTGACTTTCGTTTCTGTGGCTTTAACAGAAAAACGATGATATTCCAATATGTGCTTATGATACAGAATATAACGAAAAAAAGCTTTACGCTTTACGGTCATTTTCAAACATTCGATAATACTTGAAAGAAACCGATCTAATCTTGAAAAAAAATAATAAGATAAACGAAAGCTTAAAAGGTTTCTAGCTGTATCAATTAGATGCTGCCCTCTTTTCTGCAGTTATGATAGTGTTTTCCAGAGAGAGGATATATAAGTTGTCAATACCAATGCAAGAAGTATAGAAATGTAAATTTGAATAAAATATGTAAACATAATAAAAATGATTAAAATTGAATACCTATGTATACTCATTATTTCTACCGCTGTTGTTATTGTTTCATGTGTTTTTTTTACTGAAATATCAGTCGTTGAATCCCAAATCAAGAGAATGAGACAAATTAAGAAATGCAATGAATAGATTCTTTATCATCTCAATATTGTAACAAATATATATTTATCTTACGTATGCTACTAAATTCTACTTCATGTCATAAGTTGTATATATATATCCGTTCATCACGTGTTTTGTTGATTAGTGCCAAAGTTAAAAAGAGCGTTGCCAGGTGCAAAAAGAACTGGTATGAAATTGCATAATCCCATATTCATTTTGTAGGACTAAAGCGTAGAGACATTTGCTCTAAATATTCGTAACTCAATGTTTGTCTATTTTCTATGAATCAAATGTCACGGTTTCATTTAGATTAACGTTGAAGACGTGTGGTGTAGCTCTACCATATACATAATTGTCATTTAAACTGCATTTATCTCTTTCGTGGATTTGGCTCTGTGAGGATACACTAATAAAATAGATATTAACAGGTTAATGAATTAATAAAAATGACAGTCAAGTAATATTAATAAGATTTTTAAATCTTTAAATAATAATCGCCTCCTAGCATACCAAGACTACTAACAAATAACATTATAACATTGATACATGAATAGTTTTATTATAAAACATTATATTTACACAAGAATATCTCGTAAGAGTTATTCAAAAAAGTGTTGTAGTATTTCAATGTGTAGCTGTTTTGAACAAATCAATCATTCGTATAACACTCTTCGAATAAATAACTATGCATTTCAGCTGAAGAAAAGTATAATATTTTGTACAATTCATTCTAAACATATGTGGTCTGTTATATACGGAATTCATTTCTGTTGTATGATGGTATCTAACCGTACCCTTTAATCTAAAATCATCTTCTAAATAAATGTATTTGAAAAAAATAATAAGTGATACCTATCCCAATTATCAATCAGTGCTGATAGAACATCAATTCATTTTCACAACAACCAATTCATTATTTCACTATTTCTGAATATTTGGATTTTTTCAAAATAATCTTCCTTCTTACAGAGCTATTGTCAACGGCTTATTAAAATTAGTTAATAAAAATGTTATGTTTGTAACTTCTGTTTATTCTGCTGCATCAGACAGTCTGCACAGTTCAAAACATGCCAAAACTGTTTTCAGTAACTATCTCACAACGCCTGGGGGCGTTGCATTTACATTGTTTACATAAGCATAAATATTTTCATCGGAAGTGCACTGTCCTGTTACTGTCTTTCTTATAATTAGACAATATCCTGTGATTTGAGCATTTTGTTCCCATTCATGTGTCATTATACCATTAATTGCTTGTTTATGCGATCGCGAAACAATCAAATATTTTTTTCATAATAATGATTTGTTTTCTGTCTCTTTAATGATTGAATAAAAGTATATATCTTATTGTCGAAATGTTGTTAGTTATTGTCACAATTTTGTAAATGCCATTTTTCAATTGCTTTTTTAACAACAATTACTTTTTAATTGTCTTTGTAACGTACAACATATTGCGCCTTTGTCTGAATATGTTATTATGTTGATACAAATATGCTTTTCATTTTTAACTTTTACCGACAATTCATGTTGTAAATGTGATAATTCACAAAACCTACAGACTGGGATAGTTTTGTGAAAATTCTTTCGTAACCAGCACCACCAAATAGTTGTAAAGGATTTTTTTTTTTGATATTTTAAAATACAAAGTGAGTAATTATTCAAATCGATCTGAATGTAGAAATGAGCTCAATACTAGCAGATAAGAAAGGTACTAAGCCGCGAAGTTAAGCAATGATTTTCTGTGGCGCGTTATTCAGCCGGCACGACAACATAACGTCACTGTAAGTTTCATTTTTGCTATAAATGATTGCATTAACGGTGAATTCTTTGTCATTAAAATACATTTTCCTCTGGTTGTTTCTAGAAATGCTTTTTACAAATTTGTACAAAATGCACTCAAAATGTCTAGTAATTCACGTACATTTGCCACAGCGAGGTTAACTTTATTTATAGATAAAGACTCTGATACAAACAGTGTATATAATTTAGTTTTACGTTAAGAACATCGTTTTCGCAATGCAATATGCTTAATTAATGTTTTTTTTTCATTCAATATATTTATATTTTCAGTAAAATCATTTTAAAAAATTGTTTTTAAAAGTTAACTTGCTTCTCAATATTTTGCATCACTTAATAGGTCAAGCTGATTTTACTTGTGACTGACAGGAGTACAAATACAAAATTGATAAACATTTTAGACTAATTTTGTTTTCTGTACTAACATACATAACTGATGTACCGTCACTAAAGTTTTTCGTCAATCATTATATATATATATATATATATATACTTTAATTAACTCTAAATCTAATCTAGGAATCAAAATAAATATGATAAAAAAGATAAGTGGATTTTTTCAAAATTTCGTTTATCTTTCTCTCTTAAAATATCAACTGAATATAAAACAGCTTATGCTTGAATAGGTAATGAATATATTCAAATTTAGTTTGGTAGTCAAATCACTACTGATTACTTAATGTGCATGTAAATTAATAGAGTAATTTGTAATGACGTAAATAACAATCTGTATTCAATATACGAGAGACAATGATACATATATATATGTATAGGTACTTATATATTAATCTCATTGACAAGTACTTCTATGTTAGTCCCATTGACAGGTACTTCTATGTTAATCCCATTGACAGGTACTTCTTTGTTAATCCCATTTACAGGTACCTCTATGCTAATCCCATTGACAGCTACTTCTTTGTTAATCCCATTTACAGGTACTTCTATGTTAATCCCATTGACAGGTACTTCTATGTTAATCCCATTGACAGGTACTTCTATGTTAATCCCATTGACAGGTACTTCTATGTCAATACCATTGACAGGTACCTCTATGTTAATCCCATTGACAGGTACTTCTATGTTAACCCCATTGACAAGTACCTCTATGTTAGTCTCATTGACAGGTACTTCTCTATGCAGTAGTATTTTAAGATAGTTTTTGCACTTTGCTAAATTTAAAAGTGTTAGTCTTTAATTGAATTTGTTCCTGAATTGAGGTAAATTTTAGATCGAATGTGTTAGTTATACAATCAATTAACAATTAGATGATCATAAATATTAAATTGTTAAGTTTCAATAATACAAGCATTATTGTAGAAAACACGTTAGAATGAATATATCAATAAATGTAATACACATTGATTAAAATGAATCAAATGACAGTTCGTATTTGGCAGAACAAATCAAAGGGAGGTAATCCCTCATTTATCCCATCTGCGGTCGGTTTCCGAATTGTCCAAATTGACCACCCATACGTGTGTTCATTCCATTGTTGAAACCGCCTGCTCCAAACGGACCTCCGAATGTTGAGGGTGAGAATCCCCCTGCGAACTGGTTATTGCCGAATCCGTTATTAAAACCATTGTTGAAGTTGTTGAAGCCGTTGTTGAAGCCTCCGGCAGCTCCATTTCCAAGGAACGGTACTGTTACTTGTCCATTCATACCTCTCTGGAAGCCACCTCCAGCCATCCCAATGCCGCCAAATTGGTTGTTAAACCCGTTATTGAAGCCATTGTTTAAACCTGTTCCAAACTGATTTCTGAAGGCGCCGTTTTGCTGGAAGTTATTCATTCCAGGCATGTTTTGGTTGAAACCGTTGTTAAATTGACCATTCATCATTCCCTGTTGTGGGAAGACTTGGGCGTTGACAGGGGCTTGGCTGAAGACCGTTGCTACCAGGCAGCATGCCACCGCGAAAAACTGAATTCGTCCCATGTTTCTGTAAACGTTACAAACAATTAGGTGTTTTGAACATAATTTGAGAATGATTTCAGTAAGTGAAATACACAAATCTAGAATAAGATAAAGTAGATTCAAATGATATGTGCAACAACGCCATACAGCTGTTTCCTGTTTTTAGGACTCGTTTATAAAACCCAAACGTCTGAATTTTGAAACCAAGGATATAATTGTCGACACAATGTCAGACTCTAGATGGGGAGGTGCACTGGTCTCACCATCTTATAAAATTCGTACTTTTCTTTCTGTATCTAATAATTTCAGAGGACCGTCATACTGAGTCGTGTCATAACTTTACTATCGTTTTCCTTGTGATATTATCAATAAGGAAAGTAGTTTCATATGAAGACTAAATGCTACATCATAACATTCATTTACATTTTTAATGTTTTGTTTTTCTTTGCACGAGTTTTGATTTGCATCATGCGTCAATTATTTTGCGAAGAATTAAAACAATAGACAAATCTAAATATGTTATCGATGCAAGCGGTACAATAGAATTCCGGTTCGTTTCTTAGGGACAGCTCTTTCCAAAATTATTTGTTTGTCGTGTAAGGTAGCATACCTGCTCTGTAACGAGCAGACATTCTAATAGAACACAGATAGCTAGGTCGAACGTGATGAAATATCAGACAGCCATGCGGCACTTACTGATGGTGACATTTACCGACATCAATGATTGATCTCAAACATTAATTCCCCCAAGGTCATCAAAACTTGATCAATTATATATATGTGTGTGTGTCAACAACTATTAGTATAAATCATCAGGTAGCTGTGATATTATCTAATATATAGGTAAATTGTATCTTATTATATATAGAGCCGTCGTGACATTATAGAGGTGTGTATATCGATACATTACATGAAATTAGATAGATATAATCAGTATGATATATGTAATTAGATATATATAATTAATATTAGATATGTAATTAAATATATAGAATCATTTTATAAATATATATACATTTGTATGTGTGTTTGTGTGTGTATGTGTGTGTGTTTGTGTGTGTATGGGTGTGTGTGTAATTAGATAGATATAGTTAGTATGATATATGTAATTAGATAGATATATTACATAAATGTAATTAGATATATAGAATCATTATAAATATATGTGTGTAATTAGATATTGATATATAGTATAAATGAAATTAGAAATATAGCATCATAATTATATATTTAATTATATATAAATACATATAAATAATCATTATTACATATATAAGATATAACGTGAGTTTCTAATTCATATAAACTTTATGAAATGATAAAAGTTTTTTTTAATTGTAGCGAATCTTTCGTCCACAGAATAATCTGTAAATTCGTGACGTCATATTATAACCTAATGCTATAGGCTATATTACATACGCAAAAGGGTTATATTGGTATATTTACAAAATAAAAAAATAAACATGTGATCAAAGGTCATATCAGTAAACATTTATCATGTTGTTAACTGCTACCAAACAAATAGATTAGATATTGTGAAATGTATTTTACAGATATGAAAGATGTTTTTTGCCTTCTAGTTTCTGCAGGTATTTATAAATAGGTCAAACGTGCTAACTTCCTGAAAATCAACTGCATTTAAAGTAGATGCTCTGTTGGTTTGAAGATTTATCACATGGTAGCAATGCCAATATAAACAGATTAAAAGAAAGTAAAAGATGTTCACTCCATCGCTAGGAACATTTTAACATTCATATGTGACATGATTTTATTTAACAAAAAAAAAAAAAAAATTAAATTGATTAAGTTTGTTTTAAAATATTCATCACGTGGATTCAGATAGGCATGTGTTATGCATTTCATGATTAATCAAACTATATTTAGTCGTAATAGTCATATAGGGACTATTTTATGTCTATAAAGACTTTATATCTTAATATAATATAATAGATGAGTATGTAAAATCCGGACATCAAATAATTTATCCTACCATACCTACTTACGATAAATGATATAACGAGGAGACTTGCGTCCTTATTTGTGATGGTATGACGTACGACTACAAAAAACACTATGTTTCCTATTTTGCTGCTCATATGGCGATAAAGTGAAAATAGAATGTTTTTTTTCCTTTTAAGTACAAACCGTTACATAACAGTATACCAGATAACAAAAACAAGAGAAAATGGTATCATTCATGATGAAGTGCGACCTTGACGTCAAAATAAACAGCCTGTCTATCGCTAAGGCAGAAAAATTATCACGCTACAGATTCCCGCGTTTTTGTTTTTTTTGTTTTTTTGTTTTTTTTTTTTGTTTTTTTCTTATATACAAAAACGATTTCAATTTCATACATTCAACACAAAAAAGAAAAAAACAGTTTACCATTTCCTCGTTGAATATAGCGTTTCTTAATTTCGGAAGATACTAATGTTTTTTACTCGTATAAACACGTGTGTGATGTTTTCTGTGGAAAACACCATCCTTAGAATCCTTACAGAGATATTTTTCAGTCTGTACTCTAGCCAACTATATACCAATACCCAGTACAGTCTTGATTTACGATTAATACTTATCTATATAGATATATTTATGACGTAGTACGCACGCAACAGTGTGTATGATGAACACTTTCTTACTCTCCATCTATGTTAAGCGACAGCAACAAATAATAATAACAATAATAATAATTATAATAAATAAATGTCAGGACAACCACCACTAAAATTAGCATATTCATAAAAAAAATAGATAGGATATGCAGCTCAGCTCTTGATAAATGAACTTTCCGGAATATACATTGACTTATTTCCCCCTATTTAGACCAGTGTTTAAATTTAACGCAACCGTTAATCCCAAATGCATCCGCGTCCTCAACACTAACAAGTTACTTTCATAAGTAGAAAACACACAAATAATATAGCCAAGGAGTTACAAATAAAGATTTTCATTGAAATAGTGCCTCCTCAGATATTGCTAAACATCCAAACGAAAAATCAGAGGAAAAATATCATTATTAAAATTAGGAATATATTACACACATAAGTTATATAAAATATTCAGATAGGTTTACCAGTGATACAGAAGGGTTGGAGAGCTTACCTGTCGATGTGGAGATGACCAGATGAACTGACTGTATGTGAGAGATCTGGGGTAGCTTTTACACAAGAGGTGAACCTACTGTCACTTCCGGGTAACGGGTTACATCTCCTTGTACAGATGTGACGCGGGTTGATCATTGGCTACCTAACCACGTAAAATGGTCAACATGACGCAGACACGTTAAGTAATTCCGGACATAACGGTTCGTAATTTGTAATGATGACACATTGGTCAGGTGCTATATTTGGTGTAATTCTGTGGTATTAAAATGCGGAAATAATCAGTAACACTTTCCGTGATATTCTCAACAAGTCAGCAATCACACGGACCAAGTGCCAAGTGTTTCATAATTTTCACATAATTTTACATATAATACACATATTACATCATGTAACGCTTTAATCAGTGATGCCTGTTCAAATACTTTCTTAGTATAAATCGACAAGAATTAAAAAAAAAAAAAAAAAAAAAAACAGATTTGTAAAATAAACTCCAATTACATAATATATACAGAGCATGTATGTATTACAAATAGGATTTCACATGTCAACAGTAGTATTATAGCAAAGAAAAGTATAGAGAAACTTTATAATGTAGAATATGTAAGAATACCAATATCTTATTATTTAATTACTCACTTTAAACGCAACCTGCAAGCAAACAGCCGTATGTAAAACATAGTTTATGTCTTGAGGATACTAGCTATGACCTGCAAAGCCGCACACATAAACTGAATGAATTGATAATGCACTAGTGAAACATGTGTATCCTTGTTCAATTATGGTTTCATTTTTCTATGTTACTGTGTGTATAATACTTTTAAAGGAATGAACTGTTTTACTTATTTGAATCCAATAAACGTTTGATTTGTTAGTCTCCTACCAGTAAACTATCACCTGTCGGAAATCTTTGGTGAGATTTTGTTTAATTGTTTGTATTTGTCTCTCATTCTCAGAAGAATTGCTTCCGGATAATGATGATTTACATGGAGGTTTTTTCCTGGCCTAATATTGATGTTGTAAACCAAATTTTATTTTTATTATTATTTTCTTGATTTTAGACATGTTTTGGCTATAACCTCTTTTAGGTCAAACAGTTGTCAGGTTAAAATTACTTACAGTATTACTGGTATAATGATTCTTAACTGTAGTTTATGGATACTGGTACTTTGCATAGATGATAGTTATCAATCAAACGTGGATGCTGTGATCTCAAATTGTGAAAATGAATTACCAATATCTTTATAAATGATTACAAAGTACTAGTTTCGGGGACATGTTTTGAGCAGCGATATTCTCTGTCATTTTTATCGTCATTCTGTTTATATATTCAAACGCAAAATCTCATAAGAATGAAATACGATCTATTAGGGACATGAAATTTCATTGTATGCTTTCTGTCATATCAATTTTTATATTGGCCGGTAATTACATCAACGTTAGTGTTAAAGTGAATAAAAAGTCGGTTACACTCTTTAATTCCTCCCAGTAATGATGAGCGTATTTGTTACAATGGTATCGTACTGTAAATAACTTAGATTAAGCGAGTACTTTATTTCACGAACTTACCTCTACAGGCATATTCAAAGTTTCGTGATTTATAAATGACTTTTAATTCGCGAAAGATGTGTTATCAAAGACATGGACTGTTCAAGACTTCGTCAAATAATAACGAGGGATTTAAATTTGCGGTTGACTCTCCTCGTGGGTTGACGCGAAAATAAATCCCACGCGAAATGTAACTGATTTACAGTACACAAAATCAATGCAAAATAATCTTCTGAGCTTGATTTCAGAGTCTTGTTTAAATTCAATAACCCCGCCTGCCTTTAGTGGACTATGATCATTTTGAGTCATGGAAGTCTTAGAAATTTAATTGATGCTATGCTGTTCGCTATTAGTTTAGTGTAGTCCGAGCGG